CAAAACTCAGCAGGTGCACTTGTGTACATAAAACACATCTGCAGAAAACACCACGGCAGGGTCACTTCATGGCTGTCTGAAAACATCTGTGAGAGCAAAAGAGGATACAGTGATGTGCTGGCATTTATTTCATTCACACATAAATTGCTGAGCAGTATATACATTGGCTCATGTAGCTGTCTGTCCACACGTATGACCACAATAAGAACTGTGTTGGCCACACATATAGAGACATACCAAAACAATATCATGATAAAATACAGGTATTTTAAATCCCCAACATTTCCATAAGCAGACAGCACAAATGACACAATCTCACTGGAGTTTTCCATTTTCTGCTTCATATGAGACAGAGAAAAAAATCAATAATGTTATCAGTGGTTCTTTAAGATATAGATATTGGTATCAGATGCCCAAGAGAAGTCTCTATTATATTGTTTAAATGCTATTTTACAAATAATTGTTATGCCATTAAGACATCTTCATTCTCAGCAGGTGTTGCACCTGTGACAAAATGTTTACATAATCAGTGAAATAACAAACAATAAACTGTTCTATATAAGGTTCAAGATTTGAGCTGAGAAATGAATTTGAACTGAAGAACAAATGACATTATAACATAACATTATAGTCATTACCCGCCCCCCCAGCTCAAAGAGACAAAAGCCCAACATTTATAGCAACAGCAAAGAGGAGAAGAAATGAAGTGGGTGGGTCAAGGTTGGAGACAATGGCAGACGTTCCTTTGGTTTTTTTTTCTTTGTCTGTTTCTGAATTTTGTTTTAAGTATGATATTATATTTTTTATAAATCAGCAAAACTGTTCAGAACTGTAGGGAAAGTCTAATGTCCCTACATGTTTCTCTAAATGTTTGTCATGTGTTTCAAATTGGAATTTGAATCTACAGACATTTAGTTCTGGAGTGGTAAAAATGAAACATAAATGAATTTCATGTTCATAGAAAAAATTAAAAGCAACATTTCTGAAGTTCGAACACAGTGCAAAATGTAAATAAAAAGAGAATACAATCATTTGCAAATCTCATAAACCCATATTTTACTCACAACAT